GCGCAAAACGCACCGGCCGAGCCGAGCCGTGCCGAGCCGAGCCGAGCCGAGTTTTAGTAGTTGCCGTTTTTTGGGACTAGCAAGCCACTCAGGAGAACTGCAGCATGTACGCAGTTTTGCAGTAAGCATCGTTTCGAGCATCCATCACTAGATAAATCTCAGTATAGGCGCATACAATATTCGATAATCGTATCGACTTCTTTAATCGATTTAGCTCGTAAATAGCACCAAAATTTTTACCTGTCTGTACAGCAGTTTATAACTCTAAAAATACTATGTGCTAGCTCCAATTTGAATGTGCGGCCATGGGTCTGCTTCGAAGCCACTCAATCATCACATGTGGTCAAATAAGTCTCCAAGAATCAGAATTTCTTGTATGTCTCGCTCTAAATTTAAGCAAACAGCAGTGCTCAACAAGCAGCCTGCACAGTTATGCTTCTTTTGTTCTCACAGTGGGTGAAACCGACTTTAGCTCATCACGACAGTTTTTTGATCTACTTGTCGAATGACAAAACAGCCTACTCAAAGATTTTTCATACAGCATACTGCTACTGAATTAGAATCATGTTAATTCACGGAGGCATATATTTCGCATTCCTTCTGTCAGGAAGTAGAGCGGGAAACGTGAAAGCTATTCCACATTTCCCGATGTATTACACAACCTGGGCTGGTGCTTTCGTATTTCAGTTTTCGAGCTTCCGTAGTTCTCGAATGTGTCACTGTGACCGAGAGACACGAACAAAATCGTAAATATATATATAGATCTGACCGCGTCGAAAAGCATTTTTGCCGTGTATTCTGTAAAATTGTTTTATCCATAGCAGGATATATTTTTTAATAAGCTGTCTCTGTGAGGCCAACATTCTATGAGTTTTGGCAAATCGCAATCTTGTAAAAAGCCCATGCACCAGATTTTAAAAGTTCCACGTTTTTTGTGCCAAATCTATTCTTAAAATCAAGGGTCTGGAAAAGGCGGCCAGGAAGTTAATTACTGATTTTAAGCCTTGTACACTGCCGGAAACGTTGTTCTAAAACGTCAGATTCCCAAATTACGTAATTCCGGGATTGAAATATTCGGTCAATCAAACAGGCAGACATGCACATGCATAATTTCGCTTTAATGGGTTTTTGGCTACATAACTGATGTAAAAGTGCATGAAAATTAATCCAAATTTGCAATGAAGCTTTTAAATCAGGATATAGTGGGGCTCGATTTAAGTTGTTTATCCTGAGTTGTTTGATGAATCGATGATTTAAAAGTTTCAGTTTGTAATTTTCCGGTTCTCAGTGTACAGATTTAGCTCGATTTTGGGTTTCAGTTATGGGCCAGGACATATAGCAGGACTTGGGCTCAGGTTGACTGTGGCCCGACATGTACTTTAAAAATTCCGGTTAGGGTTGCATCAACACGACGAGCGTACACATGTGCATATGCACAGCAGATAGTCCTTACATGGAGAACCCAGGCTGGAACGCACCAGGCTCCCCGGTGCGATCATGCGTTTTTGCACTAAACTCGCAGA